TCTTCGATACCCAACTGATTCACCACAATGGAAGAAGATCGATGAAACATCCAAGAAACTTAAGACTTGCACTTGCAACTGATGGTATGAATCCTTATGGGAACTTAAGTAGCAAACATAGTTCATGGCCAGTTATGTTGATGATATACAATCTTTCTCCTTCGTTGTGCATGAAGAGAAAATATGTGATGTTGTCCATGATGATATTGGGTCCTAGACAACCTAGAAATGACATTGATGTTTACTTAAAACCTTTAATTGATTATTTGAAATTGTTGTGGGAAGAAGGGGTGGAAGTGTTTAATTCACATGTTGAAGAACAGTTCCATTTGCGTGCAATGTTGTTTTGCACTATAAATGATTTCCCAACGTATGGAAACTTGAGCGGTTATAGTGTTAAAGGTCATTTTGCATGTCCCATTTGTGAAGAAAACATTAGTTACCTTCAATTGAAGCATGGTCAGAAGATAATATATACAAGACATCATAAATTCCTTCCTCGTAATCACCCTTATCGTAGATTGAAAAACAAATTTAATGGAAGTGCTGAGGATGAGGTTGTGTCCAGACCCCGGAATGGTGAAGAGGTGTACAAGAAAGTCAAAAACATTGACATTGTGTTTGGAAAACATCATAAAAGTACCTTTGCAAAAAACATTTGGAAGAAATGATCAATATTTTTTAATCTTCCACACTGGTGTAAACTTGATGTTAGACATTGTATTGATGTGATGCACGTTGAAAAAAATGTTTGTGACAGTATCATCGAAACTTTATTAAACGTGAAAGGGAAGAGCAAAGACGGAATAAAAGCACGACAAGATTTGGCTGACATGGGAATCAGATCTGAGTTACATCCACAGATAATAGGAAGACGCACATATTTGCCCCCAGCCTGTCACACTCTTTCTAAAAAAGAAAAACAAAGTTTTTGTAACTGTTTAAGAAGTGTGAGGGTTCCACAAGGTTATTCTTCAAATATTAGTAACCTTGTTTCTATGCAAGACTTCAAGTTAGTAGGCTTAAAGTCTCACGATTGTCATGTATTGATGCAACAATTGTTACCAGTTGTTATCTGAGGCATATTACCTCCTTCTGTTAGGGGTATTCTGACACGTCTGAATTTTTTCTTTAATGTCATTTGCAAGAAAGTTTTGACCCCGAGGTTTAGATCAATTGGAAAATGAAGGAATAAGACTACTATGTGAATTGGAGATGTGTTTTCCACCTTTTTTTTTATATCATGGTTCATTTGATTGTTCATCTAGTCAGAGAAATTTGAACATGTGGGTCGGTCTTCTTAAGGTGGATGTACCCAATTGAAAGATACATGAAGATCTTAAAGGGATATGTCAAGAATCAGTATCGACCAGAAGCTTCAATCATAGAGCGATACGTTGTAGAAGAAGCCATTGAATTTTGTTCAAGTTATATGCCAAGTTGTGAACTAGTGGGTCTTCCCAAGAGCAGACATGAAGGAAAATATGAAGGTAAATGTGTTCGAGGTGTGAGAATTCAAAGTGTTAGTAGAAAAGAAGTTGACCAAGCTCATTTGTACATCTTAAACAACATTGTTGATGTGATTCCTTACATTTCTGAACACGTTAATGAAATAAAGGCATCACACCCAAGAATGAGTGAAAAATGGCATCTTAATGAACATGTCAAAACCTTCTTACAATGGTTTAAGAAAAAGATTTATGCAACTCCACATGTTTCTAAAAGTTTATTAAGGTTATCTCGTGGGCTGAACACAGATGTCAATACATATGGTGGGTACTATATAAACAATATTTCTTTTCAGACAAAAGTAGAAGATGAAAAAAGTAGAGTTCAAAATAGTGGCGTTACACTACAAGCTGAGGCTGTGCACTTTGCTAGTTCTAAAGACAAAAATCCAATCACAGCATCCATGAGTTATTTTGGAATAATACAAGAAATATGGGAAGTTGATTATGTCAGTTTTAGAGTCCCAGTTTTCAAGTGTAAATGGGTTGATATAAATTTTGGTGTCATGACAGATGACTTTGGTTTCACATTGGTAGACTTGAACAAGATGAATTACACTGATGAACCATTTATCATGGCTGGTCAAGTAAGACAAATATTCTACGTAAATGATCCAGCGAATAAAAAATGGTCAGTGGTTTTAGAAGGAAAAAACATGCAAGGATATGATGATGAAGATTCTCCTGATATACTTGAGACAACATTTGTTGCATCAAGACCCATTGAAGACTCAGTTGATGACGTTGCCGATGACATCCAAGCAATTCGTAGTGATCACAATGAAGGGATCTGGGAGAAAACAATATCTTAATAGGTTGTGATATTTTTTGTAATGACTTTATATGTAGTTTCATCATATTTAAGTTATTAGTAACCTTGTATATATTTTTCAGGTATGTCGGCATCAGACTCAGGATCAGGACATACCAGACGTGGTCGAGGCGTCACACGATTGCCCGATGTGACATCCAGACGCGTTGATGTCACAAAGAATTGTAAGTTCAAATTCTAAACATTGATTGATTGTGTATTTATCATAGCATGTCTTCTAAGTAACTTAGTTTTTTTTATGTGCAGGATGAGTTGGTTGAGCAGCAGACTCAGGGAACATTTGTTGTCCAAGGTAGGGACGACATTCTAACAACGGCCATTGGAAGGCCCGAGCACCCAGGACTTGTACGTGGAGTTCCTGGGGCGATTGGTCTTCGTGACTACTTTGGCCCTACACAAAAAACCACTCAATCAATGAGTCAGGAGACACTGAGGCAGATGGATCTTCAGTGGGAGGAAAGACTCAACCAAAGCATGAGATCAATGGAGCAACGATTCATGGAGCAGCTACAAGAACAAAAAGAAATACAAAGAGCGCTTGAAGAGAAGCTGCATTCCATGGCGTAGGACACCATGGGGCCCGCTGAAGCTCCTACAACACCTCGTGTCAGCACTAGAGGATCATGTTCTGCTGTAGAACCTACTTAGTATAGCGGTCAATATGAGTTGTTGGTTGATGAGGATCCCTGATGAGTCAATATTTTCTTCACTTTACTTAGTTTATTGTGCTAGAATTAATCGGGAAATTATGCTTAATTGTCCAGTATTTTACCATTTTTACTAATTGTGCTTAAATTGATCAGAGATTCTTGTTTTAATTAATTTGAATTATCTGAGCTAATTATTTACATAATTAATTGCAGGGAAAATTATTTGATAATATATTGGGACTTAAAAGAGAAATTTCTCACCAATTTTATTGAGAAACAAAACGAAATTCATTTTCTTGCTGTACACACGTCTAGATTTCATTTATTGGAAAAGAAGAGCGGGGCCATGGACAAATTAAAAACGGTGCAGCAGTTTTGAGTGGGTTGTAGCACTTGGAAACCGGGGCATCATCTTTAAATAAGAAACACCACACGGCCCACAAGAAAACAACAACACCCTGGCTGCAAGGAAGCTTCATTTATTAAATAGCAAAAGCAGCTCCACATTCACTGTCACGGCCCACAACGTAAAAATATGCTTCAATTGGAAGAGTGCTTGGTCCAGCAAAAGAAGAGAGGTGTCACAGAAGGTAACGTCCAGCAAAGAGTGCACACGGTGATGTGGAAATGGAGAGTTCTATTCTTCATGAAGTGAAGCAAGCGTATGCATGGAAAGTGGGTGGAAGAAACTCTCGGTTGTTCCAGAAACAAGCTGGATGTGTCACGGCTGGAAGCATTTGGAGCCACCACCAAAGAGGAGAAGCTGGGAGAAGAGGACAAATGAAGAGAAGACAGCAAGCAGCTCACGGTATTCCAGCAGCTTGGACGAAGCTGGACACAGTCCAGCAGAAGAAACTTAACGTTCCAGCAGAGTGGAAAGCAACCTCCACGGTCCAGCAGGGAATAGGCCTTCATCTGGAGTCCAGCAAGTGAGGAAGAAGCAAATCCAGTAAAGAACCACGGTCCAGCAAGGCAAAGGGAAGCACACTGTCACGGCTGGAATGGTGGGAAACGTAGGCCACACTCATTTTGGCTTTGGCTCTTGAACGCTGTTTTAATGGGATGAAGGGAGCAACACGTCCAACATAAATGGAAGGCTGATTTCGTTTTAAAACTTCTCTTTGCTTTGAATAAGAAGTGACGGTGTCCAGCAAAGGTGGGAGACTCACGGTACAGCACCAACAATTCACACAGCAGCTTGGAAGAAAGACAACACATCCAGCAAGGAGATGTTAGGAGAAATAAAATGAAGAAGCTTGGATGGGCTGCACCTTTGTCTTATCTCCAGGAAGCTCACGGCCTTATCCAGAAAAGAAGAGAGGAGAAAATGCAGCAGCCACCATGAGAGAATGGACGGTCCAAAAGAAATTGGCAAGCCACATTCACTTGAATTTTTGCACCAGCCGCCCCATACATGATTATTTTTATGGAAAGCAATGTTTTTGTCTCTTTTGAAAGTGCACTCATTATGCTGAAGTGAAGAGAAAGTGGAGGGTCCCTTTGCTTGCTTTTATTCACGTCCAAGGAGCACAAGGTGGTGATCAAATTGTAGAAGAAATTCATTTAAAACACTACTACAAAATCGACTATAGATAGCGCTTAAAAGATAGCGCTTTTTTAAATAAGAGCTATCTATAAATGTTCAGAACAATAGATAGCGCTTATTTAAAAAAGCGCTATCTAAACATATGACAATAGATAGCGCTTTTGTGGAAAAGTGCTATCTATATATAATTAATATTACTTTTTTTTATTTATAATTTAAAATAGATTCATAGATAGCGCTTTTTTTAAAAAGTGCTATCTATTGTCATAAGTTTAGATAACGTTTTTGTAAATAAGCGCTATCTATTCCACATTTTAAAAAATTTAATACATATATTTCTCCTTCTAGCTTCTTTTTACCCTCAACAAAAAAATTTCTCCCCTTTTCCAATTCATAACGTTTTTCAAAATAATACTATCTATATTTATTTATATTATTATTTTTAATTAAAAATTTAAAATAAATTAACAGAGAGCTATTATTTAAGCAAAAGCGATATCTATTTATTATAAAAACTAAAAAAAAAATTCGGCATATTTCCTTTATTCAGTTAACTTTGAAAACATATTTCTTTTGTTCGTGCACCTTTGCATCTGGCATTACTGTTCGTATGAGCTTAAATCACTAGTTTTGGTTTTAGAAGGTTAATTCAAAGGTTAGTTCAATTCTTCTTTTCTTCTCCCTTCTCTTTTTCTTTTTGCCCAAAACCGAAAAAAAAAAACTAGGGTTAGCCAAATGGAAGAAATAGCAACGTGAGGACGAGAGAGAGGAAGAGAAGCCTTCAATGCCAAATCCATAGGCCATGAGAAGTAGACAGGGTTAAAAAATTCTGAAGCTCATTCTTCTTTCTTTTTTCTCGTTTTCTCTCTTCTCCCTTATCTTTTTTCTTCTTTTCGAAAACCCTAAGAGAAAGAGGGATTCTTGGTGCGGCTAGGGGAAGAAGAGAATCTGAGTCTTCCAGACGAAGTAACGGAAGAAGAATTTAAGAGGGGAGGCGAGATTTCAAGGTGAGTAATGGAGAAAGGAGAAAGGGCAAAAACCCTAAAACCTAGACAAATTGGAGGTTTTGTGGTGCGAGAGCAAGAGAGCGCAGCAGCGACACGTTTTGGGAAAGAAGGAGAAGAGGACACGAGACGGAGGAAATCCATGAGCAGTGGGCGCGGAATGTGAGAAGCTATGAGCAGTGGGCGCGGAATGTGAGAAGCTATGAGCAGTGGGCGCGGTTTTAAAACTATGAGCAATCTTATTTGGCTATCTATAGTGGACATGATGATAAGCTGAAATTTGTATATGTTATGTTGGGTTATAATATATTTAAATTGGAATTGATTGTGGGTCTGGAAGGTGTGAGTTTACTGATAATAATTGGATGTTTTTATTCTTATAAGAATAAGTGGGATAGGATGTTATTCCTAGATGGCCTGGAAAATTATGGTGTGTTGTTATATTTTTCTGGTTGGACTAGATATACACATTATTGTAACAAATAACATTGGTGTAGTGTTTCAAGAATGATTGCATGAGTTTCTATGATTTCTAAGGTATATTAGATGTAATTATGAACTCTTTTAGTGTTATAAATTTGTGAGCACCCATAGGGAATTAGTATATACTATTATTGTTCTGGAGTTGTAATTTAACAAGTCTGGATCATGGAAAAATTAGTACAAGAATCTATTTGGTGAAAAGGTTGTATGAATTTATATGTGGAAAAAAAAAAGTGGGAGTTCCAGTGCTTAAAATTGGTGCTCATTAAGTGGTTAGGGTATACTATTATTTCATTCTTCTATGCTTAAGTTCTATATGTGATGTGAAATATAATGCATGAAAGTATTTAGTGTCGGAACAATCGGTACCGTTATAGAGTTTGCGCAGCGGAATAAAATACTCAGAAGCGTTGTTACGGTCACAAATCGAGTTATGATGGTCCGTTTTACAAAATCAATTTCTTAGAGAAAATTAACAAACCTTGATGTTATAAAACAGTAACGAGTGTAAGGAATAGAAAAGTTGACACATGGTTTTATCCTGGTTCGATTCAAAAGAATCTACGTCCAGTTGTTAATCACTATTAAAGAGTGATTAAAGATTTCACTAAAATCAGTTTCAGCAAATACAATTAAGAGTGAATAAACAAACCGAAATATAAAACCTTCTTCGACCAACGAAATGGAATCCAACAATCTACACTTTCCTTCAACCTCTGGAACAGTGCAGAACAGTTCTCCTTCGACCAACGAACCGGAAAACAATAGTGTTGCCAACTCGAAGAGAATCGCTCCGACCTTTGACCCACAAAGCGAGAGCTGCTCCTTTTCACGAGACTAGGCAGTGCAATGAACACTTTGGGACTTCCTCATACACTGTTTCTCAAAAGCTCAAGTAGTCTTTCTAAGAGTTCTAGAACTCATCTATATAGCCCATGTTCTAAAGTTTGCAAATGATATTACAACTGCCGTAGATAATTCGATTATTGTTAGATAATCGATTATCGAGTCCGTTACAGGTTTTCAAAAAGTGATAATCGATTATCCTGAGCAATAATCGATTATTCCAAGACTTTTGGCAGAGTTCTCATCAGAACTGTGATAATCGATTATTTGAAGTACTATGATTATTCCAGAGCAACGAGCGTTTTTCAGAAGAGCTCAGGATAAATCGATTATAGCTTCTAATAATCGATTACATGCGTAGCAGTTCTAAAAAAAATCGAATTTTTTCTAAGTATTAACATGTTTAAGGCTTTTCCTAATACATTTATAATCTACAAATTGCTTTTAAAACAACGATATAACAATGTATCATCTTTCAGCATCATTTATCTTCAAATTTACCAATGCCATTGGAACATTTAGTTAGAAAACAAATGTCACAATGTTATTATTAATTAAGATGAGAGTTATGATGTATTTCACTGGTTTTGATAGTGCAGGCACATTAGGTAAGTAAAACATGATGTCGTGTGGTATGATTACACCTTTTAGAGGTGTTAATTATAGTAAAAAATTGTCATAAAAACTAGGTATGATTTTTGCATATATATGTTGAACTTATTTTTATGGATTTCGTTGAATATCTCATTTCACATCTTTATCTTATTTTATTTTTATATGCATTGCCAAACAAGTTTAGGCATAATATATTCGTTTCAAGCAAACATAACAGTAGAAACATACATTATAAACATAACACAACATTTCACATAATGATAGTGAAATAATTGCAATCTAACTTATTTTCATGGTCTGATTTGATAGTAATAATTCACAATTTAAAATCTATGTTTATGTAATTCAAGTTCAATTGAAATAAATCTTTCATGACAATTCAGTAATGTCCGAACTACCCTAGCATATTTTTTCAATCTGATTTTTCTTAACTTTATCCAAATACATAGTTAAAGGTTTCACCTGAAAATTCTATCAAATTCCTATGTTCTTTAACACATGGTCTAATCAACAAGTAAAGTTTTAGTGTGTGAGTCTGGATACCTTGATACTATTTTCTATCTTATAATTTACCTATATCGTATCTCAATTATATTGTTATAACATAACACTATTATTTTAACCATTAGGTCACAGGTTCCTCTTTGTTTTTTTTCCCTTTTGTTTCTATGTTATGATATAGCAATTACTAGTGTCACTTTGCACATGGTCTAATAATATGTAAATAATTAATATGTAAAAGTTTAAGGTTTGTTAGATTGGATATAAATTGATACTATTTCCATACTTATGAATTATCTATATCTAATCCCAATTAGATGGCGTTATTAACATAACACATTAATTTAAAAACCATTTAGGTCACACGGTTTCCTCTCTCGTTATTTTCCCCTTTTGTGTCTATGTTATGATATAGCCAATATCTAGTGTCACTTTGCACTTAAGTTGGTGAATTTTGTGATATTATTTTCTGAATGCTGTATTTAATAATCAATACAAACTATTCATTTAAGAGTTTTCTTTTCAACATATATTTGTAATTTGTGATGTTCTAATTTATCATTGTATTACTTAGATTGAAGATCAAGACAAGTGGAGAATGTCTTTCGTCATGCCATCAAAGTATGGTGCTAACTTGCCACTGCCTAAAGATTCATGTGAGACAATTAAAGAGGTACCTAGAAAAATAGTTGTTGTAGTTGCCTTTTCAGGTGAGTGCTTGCCTTGGACATATTTCAGTAATTTGATTTCATTTCCCCCTATTGTCTGTTCTTTGGGTTTTTAATTGCAGAAACCCATTACTGTGTAAATATTTAACTACCGGACAATGTACATATACAATTGAATCTCACGGTCTTGGATTTGATGTTGATATTTTTCAAAGTTGCTACCTTTGTTCTTTGTTGACAGCTTTTGTAATGTGATGCTTTCTTATGGGATGCCTTTACACATTGTTGCATTTTATTTCAGATCAAAATCTCTGTGGATGTGGTGACCGTAATGCTGCCTCTACTTTGACATCATTGTGAACGGTTGTAAATGAGTAATAAGTGTATATTATAAATTGAACTTAAAGTTCTTAAAAGAATATTTACAAAGTTCAAGTGAATAAAACATAATTATTACTTATGGTTTTGGAGGAATATATGGTTATAATGAAAGCATGGTATATAGTTGTTTTGTTACCATAACTATATGTTTTTTGGGTTTTAGAGTTTTGATTTGCAGTTATGTTCAAATTATAATGTTTTCTACTTTTGGTTTTCTAGTGTTCAAGACAACCCAATGACAATGATTGTGGATATTATATGTGTCGATATATGAAAGAAATTATCACATGTGAAGGAGGAACAATTTCAACTAAGGTAAGTTATCTTCATTGTCATAATTAATTTGCACGAAAAATTTAATTGACTAATTTTATATTATTATTTTTTGTTGCAGTATTTTTCTAATTGCAAATATCAACAATATTGTGACAATTAAATTATTGAAGTTAGGAAAGATTGACGTTTACATATAATTAGTACATGTTTATAGGTTGTTAGGGTGATGTACATATGTATTAATAGGATATGTGTTATGGTTGTATATACGTTTTATAAAACAATGTCATGTCATAACATGTACTTGACGAATTAATGATTACATTTTGAAATATTATTGTACCAAAAAATGTTATTTATACATTGAAGTAACAAACATTCTTTTTGAGACTTGTTTTTATCATATTTGTCTTAATATTTTATATTTATTTTTTGTATATAACTAAATCAATATATAAGTTTATATATAATAGAACTAATATTTTATATTTTTTTTGAAAAAATATTTTATATTTTTTAAAATATTTTAATAAAAATTATTTTTTTAAAAAAATTTAAAACAATAGATAGCGCTTATTTAAATGAGCGCTGTCTATTGTCATACACCAATAGATAGCGCTTATTTAAAAAAGCATTATCTATACACTTTTTTGTAGTAGTGAAAAAAAAGGTTGGTAACGGAAGGCAATTGAAGAACATGAAGAGAATGGAGGGGTCCCTTTCTATTTTGGTACGTAGGAGTGTGGTGATAAGGAAGCCAAAAGAGGACAAAACTTAATGGAATGAAGTTTGAAAGGAGAGGCCGTGAAGTTTGAAGGGAGAGGGATGATTAATTGGTTGAAGAAAGTTAGGAGGAAAAGGACAAAGAGGTGGGTACCATGTTTTATTTCTTTTTAGTTGGTGTATGGTGACATGGAGCACTAGGAGGCTGAATATGTAGTGCAAATGAAATGAAAAGGGGATGGTCCAGAGAAGAGAAGAGAAGCACACGGACATTACACAAATGGAGGGGCCCCTCACTCAATTTTGGCATGCTTCCAAACTGAAAAATCAATTGGATTTTGGCCTTTAAAAGGGAATCCAGCCGTGAGAAGAAGGGGGGGAATAAGCTGGACATTTTCCAGCAGAGGAGAGAATACAGTAGGGGCTGGAACGTGACAGTAGGGGTGGAACAGTAGAGGAGAACGCATAGTACAGAGATGGAAGGCTACGGTTGAGCAGTGTGCACATTAGGTTCCAATTTTAATTTCTTTGTTGTAATAATTTCATGCACAATTTAAATTCAATGCAAAGTTTGGTTTCAATTTCTGTTTTTAAATTTCTAGATTTATTTTACTGTTTTTATTTTACTGCTGTAATTTAATTTCTGCTGTACTTTAATTTCTGTATCCAGTTTTCTACAATTTAATTTTTAATGTTGTTTATCTTTTGCATGTTGATTATTTCACTGTAATTTTGCTCTCTGTATTTTACTGCAGTAATTTTGATTCTGTTTTTACTGTTTTCTAAATTTACTGTTTTCTGTATTTACTGTTTTATGTATTTTCGTTTTCTGTATTTTTCTTTTACTGTTTTACTGATTTTGAAATTTTGCACTTACTGTTTTTGCTGTTATTATTTACTGCTGTAATTTTATTTTCTGTCTTTACTGTTTTCTATATTTACTATTTACTGTATTTTTGTTCTCTGTATTTTCGTTTTCTGTATTTTAGTTTACTGTTCCAGATTTATTTTTACTATTTTATGTTACTGTATTTTCGTTTTTACTGTTTTCTAAAATTTACTATTTTCTGTTTTTACTGTTTTCTGTATTTACTATTTACTGTATTTTTGTTTTCTGTATTTTCGTTTTTTGTATTTTAGTTTTCTGTTCCAGATTTATTTTTACTGTTTTATGTTGTTTTAAATTTCGTTTTACTGTTTTAATTTCGTTTATACCGTTTTAGTTATATTTTTACGGTTTGTTTTTACTGATGCTTTCATTTTTGCGTTTAATGTTTTACGTTTTCTGTATGTTTACTGTTCACGTGTTTTATTTTTCAAGTCTTGATGAATTTTGCATTCTTTTATTTTTACGGTCTTTTACCCGTTCAGTTTTTACCGTTTTGAAATTTATTTCAATGTTTTTAATTCAGTCGTGTTTAATTTTCATCTGCAACCAAAAACAATCACAACCCCCCTCCCACTTCGTGTTGATCTGAGACTCGAACCACAATTTGGTTCCTGAGAGACGACCTAGGAGTCACTTCCTAGCACTATAGCATTATTTTATGCAATCAAATCTGACGGGCCGCGACAGCCGCATCAATCCCCCACGCATTGTGGCTGTCGGACGAGTGCTTGAGGGAGGGCAAACAATTCAAGGTGTTACCATATTACCCCAACACATGCGTATGACAATTGACGAGGTTCGGGATCCCCAGGCTCAGGTGCCTGTACCCAATCCAGAAATTCATTTTGTGGGGGAGGCCATAGGATCATTTATAGTCTGGCCTAGAGCACTGATCATGTCACACATCGCTACTCCACATGTATAATGTCTTTGTTATTAGTATTTCTATGTTAAATTTAAAAATATTTATTGATAACTTTGAAATTCTTATGATGAATTTGTTTACGGAAGTTATGTAGTTTAGTGAAGGAGGAGTAACGTTTTGAAAGGATGCGAAATCCAAATCTATCAACCTTTTCCTTTGGTTTTCTATACTCCTTCAAGCTTTTTTGTGTCCTTGAAGGAGATAACAGAAAACAAAGAAAAAAAATTAACAGATGGAATTCATAGCAGAAATTTTATAAATGGATGTCTACAAGTTATCTAAGGCTCTAAAACTGTATTTATAGAAAAAAAGAATAATTTCCTTTGGCTTGATGTGGGCTGACCTTTGGCTTCAATAATAAAATGCAGTCCCAAGGCAAAAGTCGCTCCTTTTTATTATTTTTATCTTTTATTATTTTTCCTTTTTAACCTCCAATAACACGTCGATTTTGGAAATATTCGACGTCTTGTGTAGGGTCTGTTTTTGAAATTCCTTGATAGAGTTTATGAATTTTATGAATGGAAGTTGTAGCATTTTGAAAGGCCTTGGAGTTGTTACAAGTTAACACAAAGAAACCTTGGAGTTGTTACAAGAAAGGCCTCATATGGGCCTGATATGGGCTTCAATAATAAAAGACCGTCTACTTAAATGATATATGGGAAAATGCAGTTTGCTGCTAGAAACGAAGAGGTTGACGTCAATTTCTTCAGACTTCCAAAGTGTCTTTTTGGTTTAATTCTTTTTTATTTTAATCCAACAATAAACGTCGGATTCCTTGGGCATCTGACGTATTCATTGGTTTAAAAGAAAAAAAAATATTTGTGGCAAAAAAACGTCGAATTGGTGAAAGAGTTTGACATTCTTTTGTTGGTTTAAAAGAAAAAAGAAAAAACGAGGGACTGAAGTTATTGTTAACGTTGTTTGTCCTGTTATGGGATGTTGAACTTTGACGTTATACACGAGTAAACGTCAAAGCCAAATCCCCACATAATTTGACTTGATAAGTGGCTTCCTCCGCTTAATAAAACGTCGAAGCCACGAGTACAAGGAAGTTTTTTCGTTTGGTTTAGAAGAAAAAATTAAAAACATAATTTCTAGAAAATACAACGTCCAACGCGAAGAAGAATTCAACGTTATGTGATTGGTTTAAAAGAAAAAGAAAAAAATAATAAAAAAGGAACTAAATAACAAAACGTCTAAGACAGTATAAAACTGATATTTTATGGGTTGATTTAAACGAAAAATAAACAAATAACTGCTAGCTGTAATATACAACGTCCTTCTTTTGTTACGATTGATGTCATATTACTTAAATCAATATTTAGTATTTATTTATTTTGTATTGGACATCGGTTGCTTCCTTAAGGATGTTATGTGATTACGACGCACGTCCAACCCCAACTTGCACGACATTCTGTATCGTTGTACACGTCGACCCCCTAAAGTGTGGGACATTCTGTTTGGTTTATAAGAGAAAAGAAATAAAGAATAAAAAAGGGATTTACTCTTTGGCTTCATGCTGGCAGATAAAACGTCAAATATTGGTCATGGTTGACTTCAAATGTGGGGGTATGAGTAATACTGTTGGAAGCAAACCACTATTTCGTTATTTTTTTAATTTAAACTGAACGTCAGATGTTTCTTAAGTTGACGTTATGTGATTCTAAGGTCATTGTTTTACGTCGATCTGGGCCTTATTTGACTTTAATACATTTTAGATTACGTCGATATGCTTCTTGTTTGACGTTAATACATTTTAGACGGCGCACTATTTTAGTAATTGACGTGGAGTGATTCAATTTATTTACAAAAATGACACCTATCATTTTTAACGTTGGATATTGAGTGCTACAACGTTGAACGCGTGACGTTATACGCTATTTTTTCACTAGTGTTACCCACTCGTATCTTAAATGGCATTAGTCCTATAGAGTCTTTATTGTCTTTTCTTCCTTCTTGTTCCCTACTAACGAGTCTACCTAGTCGAGTCTTTGGATGTGTTGTTTTTGTTCACTCTCATCATCCTAATCGTGGTAAACTCTCGTAAATGTATCTTTATTGGGTATCCTTCTAATAAAAAAGGGTACAAATGTTATCATCCTCAGAGTCGTCGCGTCTTTATCACCATGGATGTCACCTTTCATGAAACACAATCCTTTTATGTCAGTCCACCACTTTAGGGGGAGAAATCACTTGAAGTGGATGAACTCTCCTTCTTGTCATTACCATGTTTGT